ACACACACATAAGCAGGGGGAATGAGAGAGGGAGAGGGCGAGCATGAGAGATTCTTATACATAGATATTTATATTTGCAGCCACATTCTTGGCATGCAAGCCACTGTGTGGCTTAATGTGGCACCGCTGCCACAGTCCACCCCCCCCCCCCCCCCGCCTGCTGCCATCACTCCCCCCGCTGCTGCCGCCAGCATATGCTGCAATATTGTTGCCTGTTTCCCATTTGATGGCGGCGAACTTTGGAATTACAACGCATTTCTTCACTTGCGCATCGCTGGCTTCTAAGCAGATTATTATTGTTGTTATTATAGAGTCGAGTTGGGTCGACGGCATTGCCTTTGTTTAATGCGAAAATTGAATTTTTGCCTCCCCGGCCACCCCACCAAGCGACACACACACGCAGGCAACTTCATGCGCCACATGCGTGCCACAATGCATCGCTCGGCTAATGGCGACGCATGTCAACATTTGCTGAGCTTTTGTGTTTAAATATTACTAATACGACATGTTGTGCCAGCACGCGTGCCTCCAACGGACTTTGTCAATTGAGGGTTGCAGGGCGTTTGGCGGGGCGTTCCAGCCGCAAAGTCGGAGTTGGCTTCATGCATTGTGGCCATAATTGAATTATGCCCGCGCTGCAAGTCAGCGTAATTGCAGTGCGAGAGTTGTTCTTGATTAGTCGGATAATGTTCTAGTTGGTGATAATATGGGAGATAACACGCGGACCGATGTTTGCAGCACGACGCCCACGACCCCTCGCCTGTTTTTTTTTTTTTTTTTTAGCCAATTTAATGACTTAATTAAACAAACGCTCAGCTGGCTTTTGATTGCGTGAAAATAAACATAAAATAATTACTTAATTGGGGAGCAAGTCATAATATATATGCTATATATTTTACAAATAATATGCTATTAAAGAGAGCAGCTATATATATATATATATATATATATATATATATTAGCCAGAGCTTTATTACAAGTAAAGTAGCTAACGATTATAAAAAAGCTGGTTAAAGCTATTAAAGCTCCGACTTGATTATTGAGCTTGCAGATTGCTGAGAAAAACGAAAATCCCTTTTTTTACACAAGAGCTGGACATATAGACCATGTAATTGATACCTCCCCTGTGAGTTATAGTTATTGATATAGCTTACATAACTTCGCATACAGCTTTACAATCCTTTTCCTATATAGCTATATACTATACCGTACCTGATATAGCTATAGATATACTACTCCAGTGTTGCATATAGACAAAAGCTCCTAATTGTTGAGCTTGGGATTTGGCGATATCTGCAAACAGGGACAATAGAAATATTCTAGTTTATTACAGGATTTAGCTTGAAAGTCTATAACTAAAACGTGTTTTTTATAGATGTTAATTTTTTCACGTGGCCTTTTTAATGTTTATTTATAAACATCGCATACCTTACATAAATACTCTTATATTTTTAAAGCCATAATTTCGCAAAAATGTTCAAGCAGAGGCCATGAAAATATTTCAATATTTTAACAATTCAATTTGGTTCCTTATTAAATTCCTAATAAATTCATATAACTTCTGAATCATTGTTCAGCATCATAAAATGTGTTCGACCTATTTGAAGCCCATTTTATTATTTGTGCAGCTAAATAGAAAATAAATGCCTGCAATTTGTGGCGCTCGCTTTCGGGCACAAATCTGCATATTTAATTAAATTGAAAGAAAAAGTTTTCGTGGCGTATTAAGTGGGAGTTGGTGGGCGTCGTTGACTGTCACTCAATCCATCAATAAATAATAACAAAAGTTTACAACTATTATGCCAACAAACAGTTTTTGAAGGACTTTCGTGCGACAAAAAGGCGGCCAAGTTAAGGTAAATGGGCTGGGCGGAATGCGAGTGAGAGGGTTGGCAACAACATTTGCAATAAATTGAAAAGGGGCAAAAGTTTAATTGAAACTCAGTTTCAGCTCAGTTTTCCATTCGCAATTCAATTCGCGTATAATATGAGCCCATATCGAATAAGCCAGCCAACGGGGGCGTGGCACGCCCTTAACTACTTGGCATACAAATGCCCAGCCAGGGCTGGCTGGCAGATAGCTGCAAAACTGCCAGAACGAATTGCACAGATGCAGGCGCAGGCACAAAAGATGTTTGCAGTTAAATTAAATGAAAAAGTTTACAACTTTTTTAATGAAATCATTTTATGTTTTTTTATGTGCAGCAGCAGCAGCAGCATAAACAAAGCGCTCCTCCAGAGCAACAATAGCAAACAAAACAAATGCGCCACTTGCAATGAGGCTAACAACAACAGCAACAAATAGCAAAAAAACAAAAAAAATGAGATCAAAAGGAAGGCGAACACAAACTTGAACGCAAAAGAAAGAAACACAGACATTTGCAAGCCGAAAATAAAATACCCTTCTAGACATGTTTTACTCCCTTTCCTGCAATCAAAGTAGTTCAACTGGAAACTCCTTTGCAGATAGGTTGGCAGCAAGGCATAGTTGTTGAGTTTGGCATGGAAAACTTGAGAAACAGAAAAGTTTTCCACAAAGGAAAAATTCGTCTAACAATTCTGATATATGATATATAAGCTTATATATATATAATATATATAATATGCTATGGTACGATGTTTGATATCATATGATATGAGTTACATTATATTATATGATATGATAGCATATGAAATGAAGTGTTGCGATATATGATATGATATTCTATATACATTTATATATTTATAGTATATTCAATTTGGTTCATGTGTTAGGATCAGAGCTTAACTATTCCAAGGCAAAGTTTGGTCTATATGTTATAGTGCTCCGATCCGAAGGGAAGACAGAGCAGACAACAAAGTCGGTAGCCTTAAGATTTTGCCTAGAAACAGATAGAGGGATAAGGAAACATAATTATAACTCCAGGTATTATTGATCTATTTATCTATCTAGATACATTTTAAAGGCTCGTCTTCCTTTGTGCGTCACACATTCCTTGACAATATTGTTAGACCCTCTACAAAGTGTATGCAGAAAGTTGCATACAACTTGCAGGCCAAAGAGAGATGCGCAAAGATCCTGAAAAACTTATGGGCATGTGTGGACAAAGCATATGTGTGTGCGTGTATGTGTGTGCATGTGTGTGTGTGTGTGTGTGTGAATGTATATGTGCGTGTGTGATTCTGTATCTCTGTGTGCGTGTATTTGCACAGCTTGCAAATGAAAGTTTGCTCAAATTATATTTGATTTTGCATGTTAAAGTCTTTAAGGCGTTTAACATGTCGTATACGTAATCTGCGCCAAATCGAAAACGAATTGAGGCAGGGCTGGCCAGGTGCTTGGTGGAGTGGGAGGGGCTTGATGGGGGACAGCTCCATTTAGCTAGCTCCCTCAGGCAAATGATGCTGCCGCGAATGCCGCCCGTTGTCCTTGGCTGTCATTGGATGTTGCCAAGAACTGGGGTCAGATTTGTGTCAGGGCTAAATCTCGGCGAGAGGGTCGTGAAATTTTTGGTGAACGCAAGCTAATCCAACTGTCGCACTCAGGGACACACTGCAAATGGCTGCGGGAAATATGCCAAAAATTAGCTCGCTTGGAATGCGGGAAAACTATCTCACACACACACACACACGCACACACGCACACACTTAACTGGGCCATAAGCGTGGCTGGCAAGTGGTAGTTAAGTGGTTTTCAACATTACCAAAGCGCCCAACCCCATTCATAGCCCCGCCAGCCCCCTCATCTAGCCGAGCCCTTGGCCCAGTGTTGCCTAACGCTTTTATTGGCACTGTGATTTCTGCTGCTGATGCCAGCGGATTACGCTCCAAGGCGCATAACTCTCGACTCTGCTGCGCATTAATCATAAAGCGGTTTTCATGGCTGCCACACGATGCGATCCCCGACCCCCGACCCCCGACCCCCTACCACCCTTACCCAGGCAGTGCATTTAATTTGGCATTAAGTGCATTCGCCCGAAGCAACAGCCAGCCAGAGTAGGAGCAGGAGCAGGAGCAGAAGCTGGCGCTCCCTTATGGCACTTAAACACTTTACGAGTATTCCCCATAATAAAGGATACCTGTAAGCAACGATTCCAGGAGTTTTAGCTTTGGCTTTAGCTTTGACGACGACGACGACTCTACGACAGAGTCGGATTTTTATGGGCTCAGACATTATGGCGGCACATGTATTTATGAGGCGTCATCACAGGACTCGGGGGCGTTGGGCCGTGAGCCGCATCAAATGCGAGCACAATGTAGACACAATGTAAGCAGTCGCCGTTGCCCGCAATGAAACTCACGATGACATCAACCGAATGCATTCAAAGTGCTTTCTGAATATCTGCAGAAAAAGCCAACATAAAAACTTTAATACAATTTACTTTCAATCAAAGCGAAACATATTCAATTTTTATTTGTCACAATAATCGGTTCATGCATAAAATTCCATTCAAAGTGATTCACTGATTTTGGTAAATTCACTGCGCTGCGTGGAAGTGGAAAGGTAATACGTGTACATTTTAACTTGTGTGTATATCAAAAATGTTGAAGTAAATAAAGATCAAGTGTTTAGGAGCATTCAATGCCTACGACCCGCTTTAATAGGGCCCGATCTTTGAGCGGCCTATTTCATTGAAAGTCTCGCGGGACCAATTTTCTTAAAATTGTTCCTTATTAATTTCAGTTAAAATTTCGAAGCTGATATTTGTGACCCTTACTAGTCCGAAGAGCCACGACATTTAAATATCTGCGTAGTTTTTGCCGAGATTTTCCAATATTCCACAATTTTGTTTCTAGAAGTCAATTTTGGCAAATATTGTAATGTAAGCCCCTTGTTTGTTTTGTTAAGCTTAGTGCAGAAAACAAATCGAATGCCATTAAATAAAAATACTTGAGATATTCCAATTTCAATATTTTTAAAAATCTTTTATAATTTTTTAATTTAAATCCATAAAAAATATGATCTAAAAATGCTTCTTGCTTCTGAAGCCCTGGACATCATCCCCCTCACTTGCTTATCTCTCAAAAATTCTGGAAAATTATTTACAAATTTCACTTATTTTGTGACAAATCAAAATTTCAACAATTTCGACTAAACGAACTGAATGGCAGATGAAGAGGAAAGAGCTTCTCCGGAAGATGAAGAAGGAGCTGATGAGGCACCCGCAGATGAAGGCGAAAGAGGAGCTGACGAAGCGGCCCTAGAAGAGGAAGCGGCTGATGAGGATAATGTGGACGAGACCGAAGAGGATCCCTTCGAGCTGCTCGACGAGGAGAGCGAAGACAACGAGCTGGAGGAGCGCATGTATCGGGAATATCTCGACTTGATGAAACAGATCGACTGCCAGAACGGAATTATAAACGATCTGAAGGCACGCTCCCACGAGCTGAGAGATAAACCCTGTCAAACCCGCAACGAGAATGCGGAATACCAGCGCCTGCGCATCTGCCTGGACCAGGAGAACATCAAGCTGAACACCATGATGAATCGGGCAATCCAATTGCAGAACAACGGCTCGAAGCGCCTTTATGGCAGCATTGAACTAGCCACCTCCGGATATGAGGATAGTCTACTCAACAGTTCCTCCGGCTGCCGGAAGGCAACCAAGTGCCCAGCATCCACAAGTCGGCCGAAGACGGCGCAAGAGATCTGCGATGCTCTGGATGCGGTTTCGGATACGGATTCGGATTCGGATCAGGGCTGTTGCTCGGCCAGGCGTTGCCCATAAGTGTTTTTGAGTCGGAGTTATCGACACTTCAGATTCTGAAGTCGGGTATCGAAGAAAATGTCGTCCCATTGCCAAGTGTTTGAAATACCCAAATTCTTGTACCATGTATTTTCAATTCGTTGGAGTCTTTTTCTAAATACACAAATATTTATTTTACATATCGGTTTCTCTATATTACAAGACATAATGTAATAGCTAATGAAAGAGTTCCTACAACCTTGAACTAAAATGTCAGAAATTTTATTTAAAATTTAAGTTAAAATATAAATAAGCTAAAAAATATATAAGATTAATCAATCGCACTTGCACAGATTTTTCAGCACCTGCTAAGCTTATTTGCCTGTAGAGTGGACACTGTACCTAAAATTACATTGAGCTAAACTCTATTCATTGCACTCACACATTTGTTCGGCATTGTTGCTTTTGATGCCGTTATATTTACGCATTGCAGACTGCTATCGAGCAATCAGTGGAGAGTAATAAGTCTTATTACTCAATAACTCAATGGCAGGCTGCAAGTGCTGCTGAGAGCGCGCAGTGGGGAGAGTAAAAGTGAGTGAGCTAATCCATATGTTCGCTGCGTCCACGCGGTTAGTCGCTATGCTTTTGATCCCGTTATCATAATTGAGAGCGCAGGAGTTTTAATAGCTGCATGCTCTTCACTCTCATAGTGAATGCGAATGCAGGCTTAGCGTAGGTAAGTGCTTTTTTTTTTTGACTATTTAGTATTTGCGCGTCTGTCCTTTCGATCGGTTGTGTAATCTGAAAATGTGTTGTTTCGTTTAATATATATGTATGTACATATTAAATATCGGTGCTTCGCGCGTTCTTTCAACTTAACAATTGTTGGTGCAGCAACAAATTGGCGCTCAATTGAAAATAACACGCATGCAGTGAGAGAGAGAAACTATGAAAGAGAACAAGAAAGAAGGAGAGTGAAAAAAAGTATTACTTGAACAGGTATGCGTGCACTTGAATATGTTATATACACATACACATACATACACACATGATATGCAGATTATTTTATGTTTACATTAATTCTATTCTGTCTTTTTTACTCTTCTTAAGGAAACATACATACATACATACGTACATATATATATATACATATGTAATTGAGTTATTTTATTAACTAATTTGTTGTTTGGAGTTCTTTACTTGTACTGATTTATTTTGGTGAATCGAAAGAAAGAATATTCTATATAATTAGTTTTTAAATAGAGCAAATATCATTTATAAACCACACACAAGCAAACATTCATATACATACATATATGTATATGTATGTATGTATGTAATTCATTTTCACTTTGTTCCCATTTCACTTGAGTGCGAATCCCAACAATTGCCGCTTGCTTGAAGTTTGTCGGGCGGGCGACTGTTGCTAGTGGGAGGCGGGTGTGCGGGGAAGCGCTCATTGAGCAATTCATTCAATCGACGAATTCAATAAAGTACAACTAATAAAAATCAAGCGAATGGCAATGAGTATGGGAATTGGCAACTGTCTGAGACATTCGGCAGGGAGGGGTGCAGAAAGAAGAAGAAAACGAGCAGCGAGCAAGAGAATTACAATTTTCTCGCCATTTGTTTTTGCGCCACGCAACACGTTTTGCTGTCATAATTCGCCAGCGGCAGACGCGGGGCGAAAAGCAAAGCAAAGCAAAGCAAACAATAAAAAAAAAAAAAAAAACAAGAAACAACGAAAAGCACAGAGAAAAAGGGCAGCAAGCAGCAAGAAAAACGCGCGCATTCTGCAGAATGCGATGCGATGCGATGCGAAGGGGAGCTTCAATGCGACGTTAGTGGTCCATCAAATGCTTGTAAACAAAGCCACGACGACGATGATGGAGTGTGGAGCAGGAGAGGGAGAAAGGAGTGGGGTATATGCGAATGCGAATAGAACGACAGGGCAATAACATGGCTCTGTCTCTGGCGGGCGAAGTGCATGCAATGGCAATGGGCACAAAAACAAAAGCAAATTGCGAATGGGAATGCCAGCCAGGCAGCCAGGCAGCCAGGCAGAATAAGGGGATCAAAGCAAAACTCGCAAGACAAACACACAGAGCTGAAGGAGCGGCAGTTCTGAAACGCTTCGCTTGTTGTTGTTGATGTGTTTTTGTGTTGAGAGCGCGGCTGAGCGGTGCTGAGGGGTCGGCTTGGGCTTAGCTTAGGCCCAGGGGCAGGGGCGTCGATGCGAACTGGTAAATGGTAAATGGCAGCGCAGTTGGCGTCTGGGCTGCGCTCCTGTCTCGTATTTTTTTTTTATTTGTATTTGTTGCTGTTGTTGTTGTTGTTTGCCACGCCCATGCCCATGCCTATGCCTATGGCCCTTTGGCATCCACGTTTCACATTCACAACGTTTCGCTCTCTGTGGCTGTCGCTCTCCAAAACAAAGTTAACTCCTGAAAAGGGGAACGTTTTTGGCGCGCAAATCCAGCAAATGAAGCCAACATTCAACTGACGCCGGCAGCGGCAGCGACGCCAACGGCGACTGCGCCACAGCGCGTCACCTTGCGTCCATTCACCTCGCAGAACGTGTGGAGAGGAACGAGTATTGGGCGCGCAGCTTGTCGGGCAAGTGGGCAAATGTGCGGAGAGGGAGGGGGCGGGTTGGAACAATTTCATTTTATGCGCTTCGATTCGATTCCATTTTCCATTTCGTTCTACTCACTTTGCCTGTGTATTTGTATTATTGTCTGCGGCCTTTCCAGGTCCAGTCATGGCGTTAGCCCCCCTCCCTTCCCCACACTCCATAGATTTTCCGCTGAACAATCAGAGTATCTTGCAATTTCTTTGAGTTGCGATCTACGAGTCGTAATTATTGTCGATATACATGAGCACAAGATATTTACAACGTAGAATCCGAGCTGGAGTTCAATGCACTGGGCGGAAGATGCAGCACCCAAAGGCAAAGCCACACACAAAAGATACAGATACAGATACAGATGCACAGATACAGATACACATTTGAGAGATACAAATGCGGATAGAGTAGATGGCATCGTGTTGATGTTTTTATATCTATCAGATGCCGATGCCCCATTGCCATTTGTTGTTGTCGTCTTCGTCTTCGCCATTTGCCGCTTGCCGCTTGCCGCTTGCCGTTTGCCGTTTGCTCTGTGGCAACTGATGGCAAATTGTGGCCACCGAATGGGTCATTTGAGCTGTCAGTAGGGACACTTTCTTGGCTAGGGGCATTTCCGTTGTGGCATTCACCAAGCTGCTGCATGGAGGGTTTCGCATAACGTCTATGCTCGACGGCAAAGAACAGCTAGGAGTGCAAGCACTTGATGAAGACATATTTGGCTTAAAGATACATCTAGCATAATGTTAAGTTCAAAGATATATCAGACACATTACTTATGGGTTAATGCCATTTACAAGAATATTTTGGATAAGGAAAAAACTTGAAACTCTTTCGTTTAAGAAAGTTTGACTTGGGCTGCATTTTGGTAGATTTAAAAATTATTCTGATCTGATCTCCAGCTGAAACTAACTTGAAAATAAGTTTAAAACTTTCACAAAGCTTGTGAAAAATGAAAACCCACTGGACCTTTTGCTTCCTCTTGACCCAACACTTTTTTTCTTGAGTTCCTAACACCTGCCACTCCATAAATAGTTTTATCTAAACTGTCCACACTTCTTTTTTTGGTTGTTGTTTTCTGTAACTTGGTTTCAAAACTTTTCACTCGCCGAGTATCTCTTTACACTCTGACCTTTATGGCTTTCTAAGCCGCATTAGCTGTATACACATACATTTATCAAAGCACAGCACAGGCCTAAAAAAACTAACAAAACCCTGGGCAGAAAAAAAATACAACAACAACATGAAGAAGAAACCCCTTGCCGGGCCCCGTGGGCGTCTACACGTGAATTGCCCACATTTTTTGATTCCAAGAAAAACTTTTCTAAATTAATTTCGCATAAAAAGTGACAAACAAACACAGCACAGCGACAAAAGCCAACAACAGCAATAGAAACAACAATAGCAACAACATTCGAGCAGCATCCATAAAATTTGATGTGGCGCAGACGCGTCAACGCACGCACAAAGGTCACAGGCGGCGACATTGTGCGAGGGTCAAAGTTCAGAGACGCGTAAATTTGCCGTTACGTGCGTAGCTGCCAGACAGGCAGACGTAGCTGCCTGTCAGAGGCCTTCCTTGCCGAATATCCTGTGCAAAACAAGCCTGCGAACCGGCTCGACCGAAACTTGAACCAAACTAATTGCTCCAAAAATAGGCAATACGCATGCCAGACTTAACTCTGCTTGTATCTCCTCAACAGGTAGGTTTAGGATCCAGCCTTAAATTCTATACAACTTGGCTCTCAATTATACCAAATATATGAATTCATTCAATTTAACGAACTGAATCTAAATTCAAGCAGTTGGTTCGAATTGTGAACCGAACCGAAGCCTTTTTTTTGTTTTTGTGCATGGAATGCATGTAACAGGCAGAAGAAAGCATTTCGGGCGGAAAGCAGTCGGGCGGAGTATATATATATATATATTCCTGATCAGCATCAATAGTCGAGTCAATCTGGCAATTACCGTCTGTCTGTCCGTTTGTCCGTCTAACTGTCAATCCTTCCGTCCTTCTGTCTTGCATGAATAGAAGAATCGGTAACTTCTAGTATATTCACGTGAAGTATCTTTCATTTCAAAGCCATCGCCAGAAGTTTAAAGAACCGTCCAATCGGGTATTTCCGACTAGACTTTTGTTAAGATTGTATTGTACAGACACAAATAGGCACACAATACTAAAAATAAGCCACGTTATAAGTATATAAAGGCAGACGATAGAGGATATTCTGACAAGGGGTATTACTAGATAGATTCTCCAGTCTATTTCTTCCTGGATAGATGCTTTATGCTTTTACAATGACTCCAAGTAATTTGCTTAAATTTAAGCCTTTTGACAACGATTCTACAATCCATAATTATTCCATCCAAGCCTACCAAGCCAACCTCAAGGCGTAGCGCAGAGATCAAACATAAATGGACACCCTACTCTAGACATTCCCACAAGGACACTATTAATTGGCTTCCACTGTCTAGCCAAAGATCCTAGATTTATGTTGCTGCCAATTTTTTAGCGAGTCTTTTCGACTTTATTCAATATATATATATTCCATTTCTGCCAAGTTTTCCAAG